GTGGTCACACGTTCGTCTATCTAAACCTTTACAGTGAAACCTGTTTTTCTGGGAGAAACATAATCTTGTCCAGATTCTACAGTTTAATAAATTTTGGTTTGTTAACTAAGTGCATTTAATCAGCTGAAAAAAGCTTTGTTACTATTCTGCTTAGGAATTCAATTTTTCAGGCCATGCAATCATTTTTAATAACAAAATATTTCAAAGGCAAATAAAGGTTATACAGTTGTTAACAAACTTTAGCTTTTAGTCTCTTTAACATTACGATTTCATGGCAACTCACTGAGACTTTAAGCATGAGAAACTGCTGTGATCTTTCAACATAGAGAAATGCCCTCTCTATCACTTTAAGCAGTTCTAACCAGAACTCAAAACTATTAGAAACTTCAAGCTCCAGTGAACACTGAGAAGCAGGACACTGCAAACTGTCAAACCAACATTTCCTAGACTGACAAACTTACGAACACATTCTACAATTTCTGCAACCATGAGCTTCACAGCACAATCTCCCAGCAAACACAGAGCACATCTTCTCAACTTAACAAAACTCTAAGGCTTTAAGTTACTACAAAGATTCTCAGGCTGCAGGTAGGCATACACACTGCAACACACAATTAAAAAGGTGTTCACTTGCCACACTTATCCAGTTCACTTACCTGCAACAACTATGCTAGCCTACTCACAAGACCCCCACTGAACACTAGACAAAGCCAAGCTTCTAAGCATTCTATTCTTAAAAGATTTAGCAGATAACATGACTCAAATGACTCTAGGTAAACTCAGGCAGCCGACAACTACCAGGACATGCCCGCCTCAGGCAAACTCAAATTAGCATTAATGCTTAACACTTTTTTATCAGGTTTTCTGGAAGTTTTAGAACACTCAATTTTCACAAGCGCTTGTCTTTAAATCAATTTCATTAATACCATCCGGAGGTAGAAAGATATATTCATTTACACACTTAGGGGGTTGTCTGAGTCTGTCCCATTGTCAGTATAACAATTATTAGGCACATGAAAGACACAAAAAACAGAGACACACACAGATTAGACACACAGCGGCCGCTTTTTGTTTTTTCTCAGATTTTCAAACAGAAACCGAAAGGAATCAGAGGGTTGATATTCCTGGCGCCTGAAAATCAACCCTATCTCATCAGATTCACCTTGCCAGAAAAACAGACGGGAGGCTACCAGGCGTCCCTGGCCTCCCAACCTCCCCGAGGCGTCCCCCAGGGTTGCAGCCTGCGGTGCTCCTAGTACGTCTACCGACCGCAGTCTCGACCCCTTTACGGGATCGGGACAGCTGCCAGACAGTGGGTACCCCTTTTCAGAATTCTGACCGGTCTCACTGAAAAACAGAAGACAGAACACAGACAACTCAAGGCGCCACTAATCTTACCTCTTCCTCCAAGAGCGACTTCGGGAGTGAAGCGGGGTGAGCGCATGATCCCGGACGAGCCCCCAAATGTTGGATTCCCCTGAGGAAGGCGCCGCCCCAAATCACTCACCAAAGACGTTTCTTGATGCAACAAGCAAGAGGAATTTATTCGGAAGCCAACTAGTTGGGGTCCAAGTCAGCCCGTCGCAGCAGGTCTCAACGAGGACCCTGAGCACTTACAACTAAGTGGTTATATAGGATTTTCTGAGGCATTCAGCCCTAGAGGATTACCATGGTTACAGATTGTTTTGTAATAACAAGATAACAATACTACATAGCAAGATAACAATACTACAAAGGCAGTAATTTTTCAAACCTACGATTTCTGGGTTAGTGCCACGTCCTGGGGGTGTAGCAAGGTAGGGTCGGCATTTATGATTAACTAACCGAGAGGTTAGCGCTGCCAGCAGTCATGATTGATTAACTTGTTTTTCCAGAGGAGTTACCTGGTTTCAGTTGTTCCCTCTGAGTCATATATCAGAATGGCTTTTTGGGCTTCAAGATGGCTACTCTTAGGCTAACTTATTTCTCAGGGAGGTTGGGGTCCTACAGTCAGACTACTTTTTTTCTTTTATCTGAATCCCAAGTCCGTAAAACTAAATGATGACAATATAATTTCATTCCCTGTTTCATTGAAAAACTTTATGTCATCGTTAAATATAAAATTTGTGGTAGGTCCTTGGTAGGTAGGTATCTGTTGTCAAGATAAGGAGGTTCCTTTCAGATCTTGGTTTGATATTTTGGTTTATTTTTGTTTTTAAAAGTCATGGATGAACTATATAAAAAGGGTAATAATACTTCGTGGCTGTTGGATTCATGCCAGTAAAGTAAGATCAGTTTAACTTAGAAAATCAGTCATTGTTGGAGCTAGAGGGTATTAAGCTCAGTGAAACAAGCCAGGCAGAGAAATAGATACCAAATTAATTCACTCATTTTTGGAGTATAAAAGCAAAGCAAAACAGAAGAACAAAATAGCAGGAGACTCATAGACACCAAGAAGGGACTAGTGGTTACCAAAGAGGAGGGGTTAAGGAGAGTTGGGAGGTAGGGAGAAGGGAACTAAGGGGCACAGTAATTCACAATCACAATATAGGTTGGTCATGGGAACAGTAGTACAGCACAGAGAATATAGTTAATGATTCTGTAACATCTTAGTACGTTGACGGACAGTGACTGCACTGGAGGGGGTGAGGGCTTGATAATATGGGTGAATGTTGAACCACTGTCTTGTGTATTTGAAACCATCATAAGATTGTATAGCAATGATACTTTAATAAAAAAAAAGAGAAAAAAAATCATTATGACTTCACATAAATGGTATAAACCCAATACAGTCACAGTATTTTTATATGCCATTGCCTTTGATTTACTAAAATTTCATTAAGGATATTTGCAAAAGTGTTGAAAAGTTTTGCATCGTAAGTGAGATTGGCCTATAATTTTCCTTTTCTTTCACTGTAATTATCCACTTTTAAAAAATATATGAATGTCTGAAAAACCCAAGGTTTTGGTGGGTCTTATAAAATGAGCTTATGATGTATATACACTTTGTAAGTTTGTTTCTACTTCATTAATTTCTGTCCTCACAAATTAGTGTTTTCTTCATTCTATGAGTTTATTTTGTTATTTTTCCTTTTGAAATGATTGCATTACTGTTTCTCCACTTTTTTCTAATACATGTATTAAAAGCTATATGTTAATACAGCTATACATTAAATACACGTATATCTAAGGTATGTATTTAAACACTGGGATAGCTGCATCTCACAAATTTTGATAAGTAGTATTTTTGTTACTCAGTTGAGAATATTTGCTGTTTCCATTACGATTTCTTCTTTGACCTATGGTTTATTTAGAACTTAATTTCTAAACATATAGGGGCTTGGGTTACCTTTTTGTTGCTGATTTCTAACATTTCTTTGTTTTCCTAGATCATCCATTGTATTGTTTCATATCTTTAAAATATGTTGATGAACATAGTCCAATAAAGAGTTTCTGTAAATATTTCTTCTGTGCTTGAAAAACGTTCTATATGTTTCCATTGGGCCAGTTAATCTATTTTTTTTTTGTCTGTTCTACTTACTACTGAGAGACGTATGTTAAAAACCCTTACTCTTGTTGTGAACTTCTATTTTTCCTTCTATGTTTTATTTAGTTTTTGCTTTATATATTCTGAGACCTAAGTTAATAATAACTTGTATCTACACAAATGCTCCTCTGGTGCTCTCCCAAAATACGCAATGGCATGTTACTAATTTAAAACAACCTTAGTGCTCCCCTTCCTTTGCTTTTGTTGTGTTGGTGGTTATTATTTCTTAGATTCTGTGTTTCCTTCTTTGTGTTCTCCAAGCTGGTTTTGGGGAGGGAGAAGCAGTGCTAATACACCATGTAGGCAGAAAAATTACTGTTTTTCTGAGGTTAAAGTAAGTGTTGAAAAGGAAAAAATTTTTAATTTTTAATATTTAAACAATATTCCAGGAAATAAAGTTTTTAAGTTACCATGTGTATCATTCCAGTTCTAACTGTTAGTATGTAAAAACTTGGAAATATCAGGGCGGTTCTTTGAATACTTATGATATCAACCTGTTACTTCAAAGGATCCCTTTTGTGTTCCACGTTGTGGTAGGTAACTTAGCAGTTAAATAAAAAGTTAAAATGTGTAGTCTCATTACTGCAGGAACTTAAAACCAGGCAAGAGACCAAGATTTGTGAAACAGTTAGAAAGCAATAACATTAAGCGTATTATTAAGAGTTAAACATTGCAGTACAGAATGTACCATCAGGATTCAAAAGAAAGATTTTGTTGGGGATAAAAGTCCTCAGAGATAGCCTCATTTAAAGAGGTAGGGGTTGATCTGGCCCTGAAGCTCTAGGTAAGATTTTGATGTCCTAAAAAAGAGGAAAAACATATAAGATCAAGGGAACATGATGAACAAAGGCAAAGGACTTTATACATTTGATATTGCAAAAATGTTAATTACAATATGCCCCCTATTTTCATGTTGGTACATTTAAATATGTATATTACCTACCATTTGAAAACTGAACATTTTATTTGGTAACTCAACTAAAAATGATGTGAAAATTTAATATGTACTACAATTGAAGCCTCTCAAAACCTAGTGTGTAGATGTTTCTAAGTCATACTTTGGAAGTTTTGACCTTTTGATCTGGATAATTCCTTTTACATACAAAATAGATAATAGTTAACATTTATTGAACACTTACTGTCTGTCAGGTTCTAAATGTTTTAAGTTTATTAAGTTATTACCATGACAACTTGGAAGGTAGATAAAATTATTATCCTCAGTATTTTAGACAAGGAAAACTGAAGCACAGAAAGATTAAGCCAAGTTGCCCAAAGTAACCAGTTAAGTATAAAGCCAGGATTCAAACCCAGGCAGCCTGACTCCAGAATTGATCATATTTTCAGTCTCAAATGTGATTGATACAATTTTTGATATATTTCTGATTCATAATCCTCTCATTAAAAAATTTATTTAGACTTTTTATGTTATCTATTAGCTGGATTATATTTTTTAAACATACTTAACTTTTTTTAGACGAAACTGGAAATCCAGAAGGCCCTTGCAGAAGACTCTACTGTATATGAATATGACAGTATTTATGATGAAATGCAGAAAAAAAAGGAGGAAAGTAATCCCAAGTTGCTTTTGGGAAAAGACCGAAAGGTTTGTAGCTGAAAATACAGTCTTTCTTGGCCTTGACCTGTATTTTGTATTTTAATCTTACTTCAGCATAAGCATGATCTGAGAAAATTTTTTAGGCATTTGACGTGTAAAGGGTCCCTAGTTCCAGATATTATAGATTTAACCTAATTAGAACCCAGGAAGCTCTACATTTAGTATCCTAACAAGAACAAGTGCATTACCTAACAATTTTATAAATTTTGTTTTTTGCTTTAAAAACTTTGCATATAATTTTTTGAAAATTTTTCATAGTCTTTCTACTGCTCCTGTTCATATTTATTTGTGTTTATCAACCAGTTATTTTATTTATTTATTTATTTTTGAGAGGGCATCTCTCATATTTATTGATCAAATGGTTGTTAACAACAATAAAATTCTGTATAAGGGGATTCAATGCACAATCATTAATCAACCCCAAGCCTAATTCTCAACAGTCTCCAATCTTCTGAAGCATAACGAACAAGTATCTTACATGGTGAACAAATTCTTACATAGTGAATAAGTTCTTACATGGTGAACAGTGCAAGGGCAGTCATCACAGAAACTTTCGGTTTTAATCATGCATTAATCACGCATTATGAACTATAAACAATCAGGTCAAATATGANAAGGGCAACAAAACATCCACGGATGCAGATTTCTCTCAGAACAGTGGGGGTGAGGTTCTAAGCCTCACCTCTGTATCAACCAGTTATTTTTGTTTGTTTATTGCTTTCTGGCTGGTAACTGAATCATCTGCACATACCATGATCATAATTTTAGTTTGGAAAAAGAAAATAAGTGGGAAAGGTTTATACTAAGTTCAGATTTTCTAAAATTCATTCTTTCACAAGCACAGTGATTTTTAAGGATTATTAATCTTGCAGTATCCACAAGTAGAGTGATGGTGTAAAATTATATTAAAGCTATTTTAAATAATCATATTTCAACCTGTGAAAACTAGCAGAAATCTTTCTAATTCATGTATCTGTTGAAGAAGTACTAAGACTGTAATAAGAGTTTAAAAAACTGGATAAATTACTAATTTGGTATTTTTTAAAAAATAAAGTAACATTCTGAATAATTTGTCTTTACACATACATTTTTATTGAAAAGAATTTTAGTTTCAATCTTGCTAGTAAATTTATATGGAATTTTGAGAGGATAGTCCTATTTGGACTAGCCATTTAAATCTTAATGAATTCACAATAAAAAGTAAAATACTAATTTTTATCTTTGACTCTTTCCTAAATAATCTTATTTTTTTCCCTAGCCCAAGTATATTCACAATTTACTAAAAGCAGTTGAGATCAGGAAAAAGGAACAGGAAAAAAGAATGGAAAAGAAAATACAGAGAGAACGAGAAATGGAAAAGGGAGAATTTGATGATAAAGAGGCATTTGTGACATCTGCTTATAAGAAAAAACTGCAAGAGAGAGCTGAAGAGGAAGAAAGAGAGAAGAGGGCTGCTGCACTCGAAGGTGAATGGAAAGGGAGAAGGGTAGAAGGAAACAGGCGGCAGAATTACATCTCGTGTTAGCTGTTTGTTCTGTCCCTGAACTTGATAATGTCATAATTTATGTATAAAATCAAAGTGCAAGATATATTATGTTGTATTTTAAAACAGATTTCAACTAAAAACACAGTTGCATTACTTCTGCTGGACTTTTTGTTACTTAAAATTATGGTCATTACAAGTCATTGCCCTAGCAAATGATTCTAAATGTAAAACGCTTTATTTTAAGGTATAACACCATACATAACATTTGTCAGAAACAATATAAAGTGAAATATAAATCCTAGTTGTATTTCCCAGGGTAAGAAAACTAGAGTAATATCACTCAAGGAGCATCATTTGAGCATTTAGAAGAAGAGTAACAATTCATGAAAGAACAAACATGTGCAGGGGCCAAAGAATATTCTTAGTGCTTTATATCAGTGCTTTCTACTCATGGTCATTTCTGAAGGTCTAAATAAAATATGTACTTATAAATAGCTTAATTGACATGTGCTCATCAGCTTTTAAGTCTAAGCATGTACTGTGTGTTCATCTAGAGCACCAGTTGGCAAACTTTGTGTAAAGGACCAAGTAAGTAAATGCTTTAGGCTTTGTATACCATATAATCTTTGTTGCAGCTGCTGAACTCTGCCTTTACAAAAGCAGCCTTAGATAATATATAAATGAACAGAGCTCTGTTCCAACAAAAATTCATTTACAAAATTGGGCAGCAAGCCATATTTGGCCTTCAGGCTTTAGTTTGGCAACTCTGGATCTGGAGAGTTTACACAGTATATATGTTACTCTATACCTGTAAAACTGAATTGCATTGTGCCTCAGTGAATATATTATTCTCACTTTTGCTTTCCCTCTCTTAGCACGTTTGGATGTAACCAAACAGAAAGATCTCAGTGGATTTTATAGGCACCTATTAAATCAAGCGGTTGGTGAAGAGGAGGTACCTACATGCAGCTTTCGTGAAGCCAGGTGAGATGTGGCACAGGGAATATTCAGAAGAAAGATACTGTTCCGGATGTGTGGTGGGGGGGATCATGTTAACCCTCTGAAAGGATTGTAGCATTGCATATTGTGTTGTCCGCCAAACCTATTTGAATGAATGGCTAGGAATTTACAGTTTCTTAATTTAAAAGTGTGCAAATTTAATTTAATGTCATTTTTATTCCATAATAATCTTGCATGCATGTTCAGATAGTATATAAAAGGCAAAGTGATTTATTTTCATAAATAGGACCAAGCCTCCAAAACTGTTAAGAATCACATATCAAAGGATAGAAATGCTCTATACATTAAGTAGCCACTAGTCACATGTGTCTATTTAAATTTGATTTCAATAAAATCTAAACTTTTGGTCATAATAGCTACATTTCAAGTATAGAAGTACTACGTTTGGCTAGTGGCTATCATATTAGTACAGATACGGACATTATCTTTTCTGTAGCTACTTATATTAGTACTGGTCTAGTGAATAGCGATTAGAGGGTTTTTGAAAAAACATATATATTGTAGGAGTGATGAAATGATTATGCCATAAGTATGTAGCAGAGGGTGAAAGGGAGAATTTCTCTGAACTTCTAAGTAAACATGTTGAACACAAAATTCAGATTAGAGGATCTGAGTCTGTGGTGCTGGGGAAAGAAAAGAGGGAAGAGAATGAAATTAAGGATGAAGAGAGGGAATTGTATTTGTACTCCTACCCTTACCTCACTCTCAACTGCTATGTTTTGATTTAAAAATTAATGAGAATTATGAGTCTGTGTAAGTATATTTGAAGATTGAGAATTTGAATGGGAAATAGAGTTTCGCTTAGGGTTTCATTATGAGGACTGTCCTAAAAATCCATAATATCATTTAATACTTGTACTTCTTAGAGTCTAATAATAGAATTCTTGTTAGTGAGTCCTTTAGCCAAGACAGTCTGTGAGCAGTTCCTACAGAACCACCATTGTTGTTCTATTAGTGTGATTATTAAGTGCTTAGTAATGAATGAACATGTAAATAATATAAATTAATTAACTACACTTAGCAGATGGGAAAATGTAGGTGATGTAAATAATTTTAGTGCCATTTATTGTAGTAGCTAGATGGATTCACATAATTCATTTTTTTGTGATAGGTGCCAAGGGTATATTGGTATGCTCATGCCTCTTTATCATGAGGGATTATTTAGTGATATTGAAAATAAGAGTTTGCCACCATTTTGGTATGAAGAAAATATCTTCATCTATTTCTAGGACTAATCTTAAATTTTTAAATAATGAAGACTTTGCACAGACCCCTTGTCTGAAGGCTCAGCCCAATGCAGAGGGCTGATTTTCTCTATTTCATTTTCCACCAATACTGAAAATAATATGAGTGGTTAGAAAAGACTAGTTTGCAGATGTTACAAGGTAAATAAGCATTAGTACCTTTTCACATTTGGGTAATCCATATATGTAATTGTAATTGTATTGATTTAAATATTTAGAAAAATTATATGAACCTCATTTGCTTACTATAGTTGATAATGTGGTATTTTGTGTGATTTTTTTAAAAGGTCTGGGATAAAGAAAGAGAAATCAAGGGGTTATTCTGATGAAGTAAGTTCAGAGAACAGAATATCACATGAGAAATGCATTCTACAAACCGTTGTGAAAATAGAGGAAAACCCAGATGTAGACAGTGACTTTGATGCTAAGAGCAATGAGGATGATGAAATGGAAGAAAACAATAAAGCGAATTGCAGACGGGAGAAGGGCACAGAGAACTCCCAGAATTACTCCAAGTATCATAGAACCCAAACCCACTCTCGGTCATCTAGTGAAGAAACAGAACATGGTACCAAGTGCCACACAAAAAATACCAAGACAAGAGGACATGAGAAGAGGGAAGATGAGCACCAAGAGAGACAGTCCAGGGACCAGGAGAACTATTACACTGACTGTGATCACCGAAAAGAAAAGAAGGACTCCCATACGCACAGAGAGACCAGTCACAGGGATTCCTACTGGAAGAGGCATGAACAAGAAGGTAAACTGAGGGGAAGAGACCAAAGAGAAAGAAATGACCAAGAATGGAAAAGGGAGAAAGACAGGGAGAAATATCCCCAACAAGAACAAGAAAGAGAGAGACCACGAAATGATGACGACCGACACAGCAAAAAAGGAGGAGAGAAGGAAGAGAGAAGCAAAGAAAAGGAAGAGCATATGAAAGCAAGGAAAGAAAGATACAAAAACTGTGATAAATACAGAAATAGTGAAAAACAAGAAATAAGTGTTCAATCTCCAGAAAGAAATCGAGACAGAAAGGAAAGCAGCCCAAAATCTAGAGTAAAGGATAGGCTTCTTGATCAGGAAGGATCCAGTAAAATGAGAAACAAGGAAAAGGACAAAGAAGGAAACCCAGAGAAACCATCTAGTTCTGAAACAGCACTGGAAACAAAACACAGAATCACGGAGGATTGCCAGGAGACAGGCAAAGAACAAGAGAGACCACACGAGGCAGTGAACAAGTTTGCAAAGCGGAACAGCAAAGAAACTGTAATGTCAGCTAGAGACAGGTACTTGGCCAGGCAAATGGCACGGGTTAATGCAAAGACATACATTGAGAAAGAAGATGATTGATGACTGACCCAATAGAAAGACCTCTGGAAGAACAGGAAATTGTAACTCCTGAAGTATGCTGTTTGAACACAGAAAGCAGTCTTGGTTGGGAGGGCATTTTTTAGTATTTTCAAAATTCAATTTTGATTTAAGTCAGAAGTCATTTATCTTGAATATTTGACTGAATTGGTATATAATATTTATCAGTACCACATTCTTGGTTGTCTTCAGGCAACCTAAGGATTGTGTTAAATCCCTGTAGGTACTTAATGAGGAAAATTGGCTCCACTACAACTATTAAAAAATAAACAACTCTCCTAATGGTGGTTTTGTTATAGGAGCTGTTAATTTTATAAATATGGTATTTCAGATGAAAATCTGTGGATATAAACAAAGTATAGAATATTATGCTTTTTGTTCTGAAATTTGATTAAAGTATAAAATATGGATCACATATCTAAGTAACTTTAGCTCATAGCATCCTTGGCTTAAATGAAAATAAAAAGAGTGACATATTTGTACATTTAATTCATGCTGTATTTTATTTTAAGGGAAGTATCACTCATTTCTGCCACAATTCCTCTTTTATTTTATTTTTTAACTAAAAATAAGTGAAACCCTAGCAAGTTAATAAATTGGTTTTGCATATCAACCAGTTTTAAGTATGAAATCAGCTGAAGATCCAGGTGGCCTATTTATGAACATGTTTTATATGCTCAAAAAAAATACAGCTTACTGTATCAAAATAAAACTAGAATTTCTGTAGTCTTGAAACCTGTTTGAAATTATATACTGTAAATTATTTGTCGAGAAAAGATGAATGACATGATGAAAATAGTTCTCTAACAGGTCTATGAAGAAAGTCCTATTCATGTCATTCATACTTAACGTCATCATGAAGTATTACCACATTGTCTTCTACTGGTTCTTTATATTTTCTGGATAGGAGTTGTTTGTTTCTACAGGTAACTTCTCCTGGTCTATGGCTAGCCTTTTTGCTCTACTAATGGAATATTTTAGTGAAAAGAAACCTTTAATTTTGCTAAACTTCAACTTAATACAAATGTTAAATAAAATTTGAAATTCAATTTTTCAGCCAGACACATATTTGAAGTGCTCAATAGCTACATGTGTTTATGGCCACCATACAGGAAAGTACAATAGAACATTTCTATCATTGCAGCAAGTTCTGGACAAGACTTTTCTAGAAGTATTCTTGTCTACTTTTAACACACAGATTTGTGCACCTGAAATGAAATTTTTTCTAGTGTAAAATTACAGGGATTAATGTTTATTTTTATCCATATGAACATCAAACTCAACAGTGAATGAAAATTTGTTCAAGTTAAAAACTCAGTGAATACCATTATACATCCACCAGGAATGGCAAAAATTTTTAGAGCCTTAGAATACTATGTTGGTGAGGATGTGGAGCAATAGTAAGTCATAAGATACTGGTGGCAAGTGAATTGGTACACCTTTTTTGAAAAAGGTTTGGCTTTACCTAGTAACATTGATGCTGCACTTTTTCTGTAACTCGTGTTCTTTGACAAATGCACATAAAAGTGTTTTTCATGAAACTGGAAACAACCTAAATGTCCGTCAGTAGTAAATGAATCTGGTGTGTATATATACACAATACAGTGAAATGAACACACTAGAGCTACACACACCTGGGAGGAATTACAGTGTTGTAATAAATAGTAAAGTTTATATTAAAAAGACAGTTGTATTGTATAGAGAGAATATGGTTAAGTAGTAAAAGAAAAGCAAGGAAATGATAATTATAAAAGTCAGTATAGCATTTATGATACAGGAGAGATACAAGGCTTCTAGATAAAATACTGTTTCTGGACCTGGATGGCAGTTACTTGGCTGTTTGCTGTATTCTTCTTTGAATTGTATGTGTTATATATCATTCTGTATAATCTCAAAAATAAATTTCTAGCAAAATTTTTATAGATGAATCGGAACTGTTGGCTGTTCTGGTTAATCTTAGTCATTTCTACAGGAAGATCTGTGTAGATGTTGGTTAGTTGAATGGCTGACACATGGGTGGCAGCAGTTCTTTGATAATGTGTTGTTTCGCCTAGTATGAATAACCGATTAAATTTGTTGCTAGATGCAGGATTTGATTAAAGATGGCAGTGTGAGAGATGAGAAACAAGCTTCCTTCTAAAACTGCATATAATACGAAAATATAATTAGTACAACTAATCCTGAAAGAGCAACAGGAAAGAGGGCTGCGCCAGACTGCATACACCTGGAGAAAAGAATAAACCTCATGGAACAGAGTAACATACCAAACCTGTGGTCCGGTGGAACCCAAGCCGTTCCCGCACCCCAGCTCACCAGCGGGAGGAAGAGAAACAGCAGGTAGGGAGTGGAGGCCTGGGACTGCTGAACACCTGGCTCTGGAGATCTGCTGTGGTAGCACAAACCTACATTTCATGGTGCTCTCGTGATTAGGGGGGTTGGAAAGCTAAGACAGGCAGAATACTGGAGAGACTCAGATTCCAGATGCTTCTGGAAAGCAGGGATCCATATCTGGCTGTTCTGGGACAAAAGGCAGGCAGTCTGAGAGACTTCCGAACAATGAGAGGGCTGCTAAATGGGCAAGGATTGCACAGAGCTTACCGCTCAGGAGAAAGGACAGGTAGACAAAATTGTCGAGGTGTACTCGGCCCAGCAGGTTGGGAACTTACATGATCTTTAGGCGCTTTAGCCCCCTGCCTGGCTACGCAGCTCCAAGGCCCCATCCATGATACTCAGCTTGCTGTGCCTTCCTTCTGGCCAGCCAATCTCACTGGCCCCCTGAGGGAACTTTTGATTTTAGCCTCCTCACTGACTTAACTACTTATCGCCACCGGAGCAGAAAGTAAAATGAAATCCCGTATGTGCAGGCTTTTTGGACTTTGCACTCCCGTCATGACCTTTATGTTAAGTGTTCTATAACTCAGGTTCTCCTGGCCCGATCTCCAGTTAAAGATTGTCAGCCTCTTACTCTGCCCAGTCCTTCTTCCCTTTCAGATCTACCAGAAAACCTCAGTTGCCTGCCTCCCTCAGCTCACAATGCTCCCCCCTCTCTCCACCACCATCTCTAAGTCCTTTGTCTTCCCACGTGTTGCCTCCATCTTAAAGTCCTGCATTCTCAACCATGCCATTGTCCTGCTCTCTTCTGGTGGCTGCACCACCCCCTCCCCCTCTCCTTCCACCTTCACCACCCTCTTCCCCCACCAGAACACACCCCTCCCACCCTCTAGTTCCAGAAGCCACAGACAAGCTGAGAAGAGAGATGGCAATTAGATATCAGTAACTTAAGTCTTTGTATCGGTTTGTCTATCTGTGTATATGTTTTTATGAAAAAAGTGTTGCTGACTGTAGTCTTACCTCAGTTTGTACGTTTGTGTGTCTAAGTGTATAAATGAAAAATATTTTATTTAAAAACAACGCTTGTGAAGATTGAACATTCTAGAACTTCCAGAGAATCTAGTGAAAAATGTTAAGCATGAATGCTAATTTGAGTTTAGCTGAGGCGGCCATGTCCTTGTTGTTATCAGCTGTCTAAGTTTACCTAAAGTCATTTAAGTCAATGTTATCTGCTAAATCTTTTAAGAATAAAATGCTTAAAAGCTTAGCTTTGTCTAAACATTCAGTAAAAGTTTTGTAAGTAATCTAGCATAGTTGCTAAAAATAAGTAAACAAGCCGAGTAAATAAATATCTTAATAATAATACTGTATTAATGTATAACAGTATATATATATATATATATGCAAACAGTCTGAGAATTTTTGTAGTAACCAAAATTCTTAAAGTTTGCTAAGTTATATAGACATATTTTGTGCCTAATAAGAAATTGCTATAAAGCACATTTCCAAAAAAGATAATATATGTTCATAAATGTATCAATCTGAAAAATGCTAGTGTAACAGTTTATAGTAGCCTATTTTTCAGTGTTCACTGAAAGTTAAAGTAATAGTTTTAAATTCTAATCAAAACTACTTAAGAATTTAATATAGTCATGCTATATAAAAGTAAAGCAAATTAAGTCTCAGTATCAAGTACACAGCAAAATTAGAATTTTGTTTTCAGTTAAAAAGACAAAGTTTTCTTAACTGTTAGTCAGCTCTTAATATTGAAAGATTGCATAAAGTTCTTCTAATTGTTTTATCAAAGCAGTTTCTTATACTTAAAGTCTCAGTGAGTTGTCAGAGTCTTTAAGAAAATGAGATCTTAATATAAAAAGACTAAAAGCTAAACTTAGATAACAACTGTATAACCTTTATTTGCCTTTGAAGTACTTTGTTGTCATTCTAGTTAATTAGGTAAGTGTTGCTTCATAGCAACCTATAGTCCTATTTAAGCAAGTGTCTTAAAACTTTTAACAACTTCCCAAGATCAAATTCAAATAAAGTACTTTTACCTCTAGTTAACTCTGATATTTTCCAGAGGGCCCCTGGAACATGTCAGAGGAATTTTTTTTCTCATTGGAGAAATTATTTAACTAATTTGGCTTATTTATCTGATATATACTTACCTGCTTAATTACCTGGAAAGCACTGTCAAAGGGAATAATGCTGAACTTTGTTACTGAATGTTTTGTGTTACAGAAATATCAGAATTTCCTTATGTCAACTGTCTTACAGTAAGCTCTCATCAGATCTTTAACTGTTGTCATTTGTAAGTCTTTTGCCATTTATAGTCACTGTTTTATTACTCCTACACTAGTAAAGAACTAGATTTCAGCAGAACAGGTATTGGTTACATAGGATTAAGTGAACTAAGGAAGATAGTTTTATGACTTTTTGTTTCAGATGTTGCTGATAAAGTGTTTTAAGCTTTTTCTCTTAAGCTGACAACAGTTTAGTAAATGACTGCCTTTATAAGCAGAATTGAAACTTTATTTTTCTCTCTACCTGATCCCTCCAGAATTTAAAAACTCTCAGTAACTATTTTTATATTTCATGGCAGTATGTTTATTTGCATAAGTTCAATAAGAACCTGCATTCCTTGTAAGAGGACCAATTAAAAACACAGGTTATATTACCAAGGCTTTGACTAGAATGTCATACCTGAGAGACACATGCATAAACTCAGATATGGACAGACAGCTTTAAGGAACTAAGGTTGACTTTATAGAGCCAACAAAACCCCTTGGAAGAACTAGCCTGGTACCTTGCTTACAGAGTTCCCAGCAGCCTTACCAGGTAAGTAAAGAAGGTCACTTCCTGGCAGGTGCAAGAACCTCAAGAAGAGAGGAATTCACCCAAATGAACAGGTACTGCAGGCACAACCTGATGGCAAGTCTGGCTTGGCTTTCTAGCCTCAAGAAGCCCTTGAAAGTTCAATCTGAAATTCCTTACAAAAAGTTGCAGCAAAGCATATTTAAAAGAGCCTATGTAATCAATTGCTCTTCTTGCTGCACTTATGCAAATAATAAAGCCAACTGTTAATTATTTTCTTAATGTAGCTACTTCTTAAAAAAGGTGATTTTAGAGAAAAGTATTGTTTCAATAATGCAGTTTTATCTATACTAAATCCCAATACTAGTCATTGAGGTGTAAACTCGATCCAGAATTCCAGTCCCCCATAATAGCCTGGCTAATGCCCCTACTAGGCCCCTTAATAACAGTTTGTGGTTTACTCTTAGTTGCCCCTTAGGTCCCCAGGTACCTCCAACAGCAGCTAACCCAGATGACCCGAGTCGCCACCAACCAGATGTTACTTCACCGTTACACACCTCTTCCCACTGAACCCCCTCCTTCAGCCTAATACCAGCCTCAAACCCCCATGATACCCCTTGTCAGCCGCAAGTAGCCAGATTGAGTCGTTGCCCATTATGACCAAAAGGCTGGAATGTTAGGCTGGAGAAAGGAAAAACAAGGACATCCAAACAGAACAGAGAGATGCCATAGGGGGAGAACAGACCAGACCCCAAAGTCCGTGCCGTATATGGAAAGGGGACAGCTATCCCTGAATTCCATCCTGATGTGCCAACTAAGACCCGGATGTCAGCCTCCTCCCTCTTGGAAAGAAAAAAGTTTCTAGTTGACTATTATGTCACCTTTAGCCAATCATACCTCTCAACACCCCCCTAAGATAGTTTGCCCACTCCTCCCCTCCTAATCCCTTATAAGCGCCCCACCTCCCTAACCAGGTGTGACTTCTCTGGCCTCTGGCAAGAAGGCCACAGAACCTCACCCGGGGATATTTAAATAAATTACCTGGCCCTTTGTTGCCTCTCTTTGCTTGTTTATTTCGGCTAGATTTTATCTTACACAGAGAGTAGAGCTTCTGGACACTAGAGGGCACCACATACAAATATGAAGTGACAAAGGAACCTGGTTCAAAGCAAAATTATGAATACACCAGAGAAAGAGTCAAATGAAATCAACCTCATGAATCTTCCTGAGATTTCAAAATAAAAATCATTAACATGCTCATGGAGGTACAGAAAAATATTCAAGAATTCAGGAATAAAATTGGTTGGAGATCCAATCATTATGGAAAAGAGTATCAGAAACAAAACATACAATGGAAGGTTTTAAAAGCAGAGTAGATACCATGGAGGAGATAGTAAATGAAATAGAAATTAGAGAAGAGGAATATAAAGACGCTGAGGCACAGAGAGAAAAAAGGATCTCTAAGAATGAAAGAATATTGAGAGAACTGTGTGACCAATACAAACAACACTATTCGCATTACAGGGGTACCAGAAGAAGAAGAGAGAGAAAAAAGGGGATTGAAAGTGTCTTTGAGGAGTAATTGCTGAAAACTTCCCCAGTCTGGGGAAGGAGATAGTCTCTCAGGCCATGGAGGTGCACAGATCTCCCAACACAAGGCACCCAAGGAAGACAACACCAAGACATATAGTAATTAAAATGGCAAAGATCAAGGATAAGGACAGACTATTAAAAGCAGCCACAGAGAGAAATAAGATCACATACAAAGGAAAGCCCATTAGGC